TCTGTTGTTCAGTTTTGCCCTTCATAGATAGAACTTCAGAAATATCAAGAGTAACAAGTTAATGAATAAAATTTTTTTAAACTTAAGAACAATGACATTTAGTGAAGACAGATGCTGTCGGACACTAATAGGAAATGATGGAGTTATGACAGACAAGTGCACAACTTGACCTCAGGACTTAACCTCTGCATTGTGCTTCTTAGGCAACATCAGAATCCCTATTCCCATAGCAGCTCATCTGAACAGATTTCTAGATTTCATTTACAGAAACATAAATATGAGCTCTGTCACCTAGTCTTTTCAGGCCATGGGTACTATGTCCATCGGAATGATAAAAAATGTTTTCAATCATTTATACCTGAAAGACCAGGTCTAAAAATTACATTTTTCACAGTTAGCTTAGTAAAGGTAATAAACAATGTTTTGTTAAAAATCTTGAATCAAAGTAGGTTGTTTTCTAATGTTTAGAAGAGTAAGAAGGGCAAAGCTGAACAATAGCAATGTAATTGATGAGTTCAGCTATGTTTGACCCTTCAGATAGAACGTAAAAGAGGTCTCCAGTTCTCCATTCATCAAATACACTTGTCCTTCTAGAGTTAACCATGTTGCGAAACAAGGCAATCATAGTAAAAGGGTGAGAAACAGTCCAGCTTCTGCTGTCTTAAGATACACAAGTAGACCCTCATCCTAGCTTGAAGACGCTGGGACCCTTTCTTCTGGAATCTTGAATGAGAATGTCCAACAGAGAGCCTGTTTTTAAAACTTTTTTCAGTCATTTATTTGTTCTGATAACTTGAACGAGTTATTTTACTTCTCTAAGGCCCGGTTCCATCCTCTATAAAATGGAGAAGATGGTAATATCCACATCCAGTGTATGTTAGTCAAATGACAAAATACAAGTGAACACACTAAGAATTATCTATGCACCATCTCAATGTAAAATAGGATTAATTGGGGTCATATTGTATGATCATCTTTCATGAGAGATTCTTTCCCATGACTCATTGAGTCTTTTAAACTTGTTCTAGGGTCCTGTTCATGAAAAGAGCTGTTTCTTAATAGAGATGACACATCTGGCCTGGATATAATGCAAGCCTTAAATTGGAGAGGCTGATCATGGCAGGTCACTTCTCTTGCCTCCACCGTAATGCTTTTATAGCCACTTTCAGCAGCGTGGAAGCAATAATCCCTCTTGACTCTATCACTTTAATTTACTACCTTAATTGAGAACCTATGTCCAGAAAATCCTGGAATCTTTTCATATCAAAGATGAGCTAATCTGCTTTGATTTTGTTTGAATTTATTTTTTTTCTCTCTGTTAAGAAGTCACTGAATCACATAATCTCATGGTTAGGCGTGACCATAAGACTCATCTGCCCTAATTTTCTTTTAGATAATGAAACTTCCTCTGAGGTCTTTAAAAGATGATAATCATCCAATCTCTGCTTTGATGCAAAAACTTTGTCAAAACAAACAAAAAACACAGCACATTATTGAGCTGCTCATGTTAATAGACTATTCTTTACTGAGTAAAAATCAATATGGATTCAACTCATCTATGACTAATACAGGTTTTAAAAGTTTTAAAAATGTACTGTGAACTTGTCCATATGTAGTGAGAACACAGCCTGGTATCATATGCTAAACTGATCCTTCATTGTGTGATTAATTCTCAGTCAAGGCCTTTTTTTCCTGTAGTCTCACAAGAAAAGCAATCATAATAATCCCATTCTTGCTGAGTGAGTTGAACCTGGTCATTATTTTGATGCAAAGTCTTGAAGAGAAGCCCATGTAAGCTAGCACAGAGTAAGAGCTGAAAAGAAAATCCCCCAAAATAGATGGTTTTGATTTTACTCCAGATGCAAAATGTACTTGTTTCAGAAAAAAATTATTATTACAACATGTGATACAGAATTACTTATCTTACATAATCTAAAAGTTAAATTGGATTTTTTTCTATCTCAAAATCAAAAGCTCTTTTGTATCTTTTAATTTGTAAAAGATATTACTTAGAATCATGTATCCACAATCATCAGAAATAATTAGAATTTTGCTTTGTAGCTATAATTAACACTTTTTAATATCAAAGCTTGTTTTGTTTTGGGGGAAGTATTGAACTCAAACGCACCCACTGAGCCACTTTCTCAGCCCTATTTTGTATTTTATTTAGAGATTGGGTTTCATTGATTTGCTTAGTGCACCTCAGTGTTGGTGAGGCTGGCCTTGAACTTGTGATCCTTCTATCTCAGCCTCCTAAACCACTGGGATTACAGGCATGTGCCACTGCACTGGGCCCAAAACTTGTCTTATTGAAAGAATTTTAGATTCAATCCATTATTAATTGGAATGAATAGAGAAGAGTAGCCAAGTGCCAATGGCTTTAGAGCCAGATGGAATTCTGTTGGTTCCCATCTTGGTCACAATATGACTTGGAAAGGCACCTTAAAATCCTTACTTATACAATTTTTATAATACCTACCTCATTGAATTACTGTGAGCTTAAATACCATAATTTTTGCAAAGAGCTCATGATAGCCCTGTGTGTATAACAACAGTTGTAGAATGGCTAGCTGATAGTATTATAAGTGGTCTTATAAATCTTTACTTACTCATCAGGGGATGAAAAACATCATTTGGCAATTTCATTTTAGTTCATTTTGAAAGTACTTATATATTTTTGAGAATTCTAATACACAGTAATAAATAACTTTTAAGTAATAGGAAAGCTAGTTAAACAACACCCTTGGTTCTGTTTGAGTCTGTGCCTCAAAGTTAGAGAGTAATAAACTAGCATTGTTGTGGTGTAAACTAATCCATAAAAATCAGTAAAAGTCTAAGTTATAGGTTGTAGATTAGTAAAAAATATATAGATTATAGATATAAGTGAGATAAGACAATTATAAAGTAAGAACTGTCATAGACTGTTGAGAGCCACAGCCAAAGGGGCCCCAGCAAACTTCCAGCTGCCAGCAAACTTCCAGCTGCCAGCTGATGATTGGCTCACAGCGGCCCCAGCAATATCTAGCTGATTGGCTCCTCTGTGGTGATGCTCATTGGGCTGTTTCCCTGCCCTTTCAGACCATTGAGCTGCTCATTGGGGGACTTCTTTGGCTCCGCCCACACGACCCAGCCAATTGGCCTCAAGAGCAGGAGGATTGTGGGAGGTGGAGAGGCTGGGGTGGGGGTGAGAGGCTTGTGGAAGCCGGTGGTGGCAGTTGGGCTCTGAGGGTTTTTTCCTGAGCTGTTTTGTTTGGCGTTTGTAGTTTTAAAAATAAAGTTAGTTTCTTTTGACAAGTGGCTCCTGTATTGTGCCTATAGATTATAGGTATGATAAGTGAGATAAGACAATTATAAAGAACTGTCATAGACAAGCCTAAGACTCGATTTTGCTGCCTTCTATAAAAATCTGTTATAAGAGCTGTTTCTGAAAAACTGAAATGAAAGTTGTTTGCTTATGAAAATTGTTTTTCTGTACATTGTACCCCACAAATTGTACCCTACTCGGGATGCATCGGTGGTCATAGTGAGCTACATTCTAGATTTGAGCGCACTTGTGGGTCTACATGACTTTGAAATAGATTCTCGCCCCCGCCAACCCCTGCTTAAACTCAGGATATGGTTGTCTAGCACCTGTTTGGACCCGGGAATCATGGTCAACTGAACTGGAAAGCTGATTGCTTTTTTCTAGCTTCTGTACTTGCTTGCTTGCTAACTGGAAAATTCCAGGCCTGCTTAGGGTTAACAGGTCCCACTTATTATTGTTTTAGCTTCTGTGATTGGCTTGCTTACAGGATGCTGAGCAAGTCCCTGAGTAGTGGTTTTTGTCATAAATTCTCAAGGAATAGTTCTGTTCCTTGAGAGAACTGTTCCTTGAGAATTTATGAATAGACCTGGAGGCTGCTGTTCTCCCACAGAGCTTCAGTCTCTATGGGTGGGTGACAGTCCCTGGCCAGGTAAATAAAGTTCTCTTTGATTTGAATTCCTACTTAAGAGTGAAGTGGCTCTCCGTAACAGCATATATGTTAAGATAAGTCACAAGTTTGGGTTCTAGTAATAGATTTGCTGATTACTATGTAATCATGAACTATTAACTTTTTTTCTGTTTTCATTTCCTTTTCTATAGAAGAAATTTATGATATCTACTTCAAAGGATTGGAGTGTTGAAGGGTAAACCACATGTCAAGTTCTTAGTTGGCTCTTGGCAGCCAGCCAGTATTGAGGAAATGTCAGCTAGTACCAGTTTGCTTTCCTTTGCAGGCTCTGAAAAGCGTGATAGAGGAGTGTTTGTGAGATGACTAGGCGAGCTGGTTTGGAGGAATATATATGATTTTTTTTTCTAAGCAAACATTAAAAGCCACTGTATCCAAGGCATTGAAATACATGACGTTCGTTTTGGAGGAGAATTTCACAATGCCTCAAGCAGCCAATTGTTATTTAGCTGAGGGTGGTGAGTACAGGTTGGCTCATGGGACTGGAGGTCTCTCACAGAGCTGTGAAAAGATGTGAGGTTGTGTGGGGCAGTGAGAACCAACGTATGCAGTGCTGAGCCACTCAGGCTTCACCTTACAGGTACAGCATCATAGGCAGGTAGTTGCTAAGCAGTTTTGTGCTTCAGAAAAATTCCTCTCCAGACAGAAATAGTAAAAGTAATTATAGCTAATACATGTAGCTCTTTCTACATGCCAGCTACTGTCTTTTGTACTTTACACACATAAACTAATTCAGTGTTTAAAATGACTATTAAGGTAGGATGTACAGGTATAAAAAAAAAAAAAAACAGCAAGATTAATTTGCCCAAGTCTACAGAGGTCAGCTTTGAACTCAAAAAGTCTAGCAGCAGCCTCTGTTTTTAAACACTACACGACATTGCCCCTGATAAGCTGTAAGGTGAACAGACACTGAGAAATAATAAAGGAGCAAATATGAGGATAAAACGGGCCATGGATAAATGGAAACAAATTTCAGGAGTAGAACTGACAAAGAGTAGAGAAACTATCTCACACGGAGAGTCACAGGTGAATTATTTAGGATGCTGTGGAAGGTTTTGGTTTGGACAAATGATCACATGGTGGTATTATTACTGCTATTGATCTTGTGTTGATCTTCTGTAAAAGTAAGCGCAGGATTTGTTTGCTTCAATGTTTTCCAATCCTTGTACTTAAAGTTGTCTTTCATTTTCCAAGAGCTGTTTTCATTCTTGTCTCTACTATTGTCCACGCTTGTCCTTGGCCAGCCTTGCGTCTCATCATTCCAACACTCACCTCAGTGCCTGAAAAATAGTAGGAGCACAACATGTGGTAGAATAAATAAATGGAAGAAGCCTGTCAAGAGGAAGAATGTGACTTACACTTTGGGCAATCTAAAAATGAAGATTGCGTTAGTCAGCTATTCATCACGGTGACTAAAATATATGACAAGAACAACTTAAAAGAGAAAAACTTTCTTTTATGCTCACAGTTTCAGAGGTCTCAGTCCAGGGTCTGCTGACTCCATTACTCTGAGCCTGAGGTGAGGCAGAACATCATGGTGGAAGAGCATGTGGAGAAAGCTTCTCAGCTCATGGTAGCCAGGAAGGAGAGAGAGAGAGAGAGAGAGAGAGAGAGAGAGAGAGAGAGAGAGAGAGAGAGAGAGAGAGAGAGAGAGAGAGAGAGAGAGAGAG